ACCCACGTCTAATAAAAGAAAAGTTAAGAAAATTGCAGGTTGATTAGATCCAACTAACTGTTATATTAATTAAATTTTACGTTTAATTAACTTGAATATATATATATATATATATATAGAGGAAAAAATAAAGGTAAAAAAAAAACACCCGGAAATTACACTTCCTTTTATGATTCAATATTATATATTCCACGGTCCGGGAAGTTTGAAGTCATCACACACGGTGAAGATTTTATATGTTGAACAAGAATTGGGACCCACACGATCAAGCTTTAATTAATCTGAATCGTCTTTGTTCAATGTTCAAACCTTTGTATTAGTTTTAATTCAGACGTCGATCAAGCTGCTCGCACTAAGCTCCATTTATTTAATAATTAACCCTTCTTGTGAAAACATTGGTACTTTTTCATACATGAAAATATACGATGAAGAATTATAACGTTCCTAGAAATTTAGTTATGCGTGGGAAGTCAATATTGGACTACTTCCAATGAAATGAGGCCTCTCAATATTCTCCGATCCAATGGTTGAGAAGAGAGTTTATAAATAGATAATATAAATATAATAGCCTGAATTTATTATTATAATCAGATTATTACTGCACTATTGCCTATTTATGATGTTACTAACATATGTATTTGGTTCAAAGTTACGTTCAGCATAAGTCTTTCATGGAAGAAGAATGGGTTTGATTGAGAATATGTTTCATATTAGGAAAACCTAATGCTGACCACTTTCTTTATTATTTGCAAGTAATTGTAACAGCAGGTAATTAATATTTCGTTACCATATCAGCATTACGTCACATCAAATTAAATTCAATGTTTGGAAAGTATGAAGGTTGAATTAAAAAACAAAATTATATACTCCAATTTTAAAATATACTTGTCTGGTTCTTAATGTAGAACCTAATTAGAAAATTAATGCTAGTCTTATATACCTATTTCATATGTTTATCAATTTTTTTGAAACAAGCTTCCTTAATAGTTGGAAAATGTTCAGGAGGCTACTAAATTAGTAATATATGAATCCAAGTTTCCTTTACCATTGAATAAATTACTGGGATTAATAGGGATTAGGTCTAATAGAAAAAATTAGTTTTTCATAATATAACGAATCAATATTTGAATTTTTACTAAGAGATGTGCTTACATTTAATACTTTGAACATGATTGCTTTCTATATAATATATGTGCCTAGGAAAAAAAAATTGTAAACGATTCACCAATAAAATGTGAGCAAAGCCTGAGCAAAGTTCAAGTTGAATTAAAAAGAAAAACAGCATAAATTTCACCTCAAATGCAACGAAGCATCTTGCACGGCATATTTCGACACGAAAGGGGAAAAAGATGTAATAAAGAATTTAGAATTGAATAGCTAACAAAAAGAGTCAAAGACTGAAGTTCAATTTCGTGTTAAAAGGGAAAAAACTAATCATGTCAATTCCATGTTCATGGGAGATCATGAAAGCACTGGAGAGGGATGTTAGTGGTAGTCTCACCCAAGAAGGGGGTGAATTGGGTGAGTTATAAAAATTTTTGAAATTAAACAAAGAACTATCGGAAACAGAGAGTGTAAGTTTAGAATGATTTCACCGTAGAGAGGAAGACACAAGATTTATACTGGTTCGGTCTCAACCATTTGACCTACGTCCAGTCCTCAGAACACCTCTGAGTATTTCACTATGATCCAAGATTGACCGGGCTCTTGGCGCCTCAGTACAGTAATTGAAACTCTCAATCACTCCCCCTTACTTCCCGTAAGGTTACAAACCCACTCAAGAGTCCACACTCTTGAGTATCACACAATCGTGATTAATGAATAGTAGATAAACTCTCTTACAGAGTGAATAAATGATAATCACTAACGCTCGTTGTTATGGAAGAACAGAGTATTGAATGCAACAGTAAAAATCAACAGAGGTTAGCTCACGTATTCAATCTGTTCATTTAATGCTTCTTCGTGCCTTTTATAGTTGAGGTCGTTTGGTAACCGTTAGACGGAAGAGCTTCTAGCCGTTGAGAACCTGGTTGCGTGTTTTTCCAGTTGCAACGGTTCCCGCCATTAATGCTTCTGACAAGGTAGGTTACATGCTACTTGGATAACCGTTGGAGTATCGTTGGATTTTCTTCGTAATCTGCAAAAGTATGTTAATCCAATAAGTTTTTCTCCGTAGAATAAGATCAAAATTAGAACCGAACAAATGATAGAACGAATAATCATAGTTTATGATTAGAATCAATCAGTTGTTAGATGCGATGGGTAGAGACTGATCGTGCTTGATCGAATTGATGTTCGATTATTACTTGATCGATCAGGTTATCGATTATTCTGAGTGAAGGCTTTCGAACCAGATGACTAAGATTATCGATCAAGTGATGGATCAACTGTTTATCGATCATGTGATCGATAAAGGGACATAGTGACATTATAATATGATGCATAGACAATGAAGATCAAAGTTGCATTTGATTTTGAAATTCTTTAAATAGTGAAACAAGATATTTATGAAGGCTGAGAAAAGCTCACATGATGAATTTTGAGAAACATCGAGACTTAAGGTTTGAACTGAGATCACCTAATAATCGAACAAATGTTCGAACACTCGTTGTTCGATCAAGTTATAGAAATAACTTTTGAAACACTGATTTTCGAACACTTTATTGATAAAAAGATGATGGATAACCTTATCGATAAACAATAAACAAAAGCAAATGTAGTGAAAACACAGGCTAAGTGAGTTGTTCGAATAGGTGATCAAAAAAAGGTTGATCGATAATGTTATCGATAAAAAGATCTATTCTTGTAAAACGGAAAAGCTGATTTATCGATCATGTTATGTGAAAGCAAAATAAACCTGAAGTGGTTATCGATAATCAGATTATCGATCCGGTGATCGAAGAGTCTCAATGTAACAAGGATATATTGATTATTGATCATGTGATCGATAATTTTCTTATCGATCAGGTGATCGATAAGCCACTGAAATAAATTCCTGCATGAAAGGTTATGAGGCAATGTTTGATCATATTATCGATAAAGAGTTGATCGATAATGTGATCAATAAATGGTGAAAGAGGCGAAACATAGAAAGAGTAAAGTGCATTACCATTTATCTGTCTTCTCATCGATAAACGATTTATCGATCATGTGATCGATAAACACCCATCAAATTTGTATCCTGATTATCGATCAAGTGATCGATAATTTGTTTCAGATTTTCATATACAACTAAGAATGATCGATCAACACATTATCTAATACGTTATCGATTAAAGCTTCTGTTGAGATTACTTAATTAAACAGTGTTATTATCTATTAGCTTATCGATAAAACCTTGATCGATCAAATAATCGATCAACATGCTGAAACACAAATTACTCACTTTGTTATCATCAAAACCTTAATCCTAACAAGGGAAAATAAAATAGAGCCCACAAGTAAAAAAGAAGAAGGAAGCAAGAAGTCAATTGTCTTAAAAAACATGAATGGATGGGCCAACTTAATCAGAATTGAGAAGAAAAGTTGAGACGTTTAGTAAAATATTCTTAAAAGGATTAGAGACGCAAGGGAATATAATTCAATTCGTTGTATTAATAGACCAAAACATAAGCAGTTTGATTGGAGACTTAATTAGGGTAGAATATTAATAACGTAGGTTGTTACATATGATTCAATGTGTGTGGTCCATACGTCAGGGCTCAAAAAATCGAACAAAAATGTAGGCAAAATTCGAATGCTATAAAACAATTTTTTTTTTTGCCAAAGCAATATCTCGGGATAGGCCAGCAATATCTCTTAATTTATTAGAGAAAATGCATGCAAATCCTCTTCTGATATATAGTGCGAGAGATAAATTTCTTTCCGTGCCCAAATTGATGACTTTAATTATAAATATTTTTTATTTAATTAAGTAAATTAATCAACGAAATTTCATTATGAATTGAACTTTGATCTTATATGTGCGTACACACACACATATATTGTGAATATATATAGTTGTCTGTATATGAATAACTTGCCATCTTCCTTGCCAATTTCCAATAAATTACATATATCTCATCAGTATACACGCAAATCTAATTCAGATTTATTCAACTATTGAATTTTTTAAAAAACAGCTGAAATTTCGCATGTGAATGAAATGAAGCATCTTGCGCTGCGTACTTGTGATCCCACAAAAGAATGGAGAAATAATTTGGTGTAAATTGCAAATAAACAGCGAAAGAATGAGGTTGAATTTCACATGTTAAATGAAATAAACTGTTATGGGCCACGGAGTGAATCAGGACGCGTTGGGCCAGACCAAGATGGATGAACCAGTCCAAGAGGCAACTGAGACTCATGCAGAAAGGGAACCACGTCGCAGTACACGTGAGAAGAGACTCACATGGAAAATGAGGGAGGACTGACGAATATAAACCGTTAGAGGAAAGAGAGTGAGGGGGTGAATGTGTAATGATTCTCCTTCCTGTACCTCTCGTCCTCTCTGAACCTTCTATCCCTTCCCTGGTGATATTCTTCTTTTCTGCTGCTTTTTGTTATTTTGTGACTATCAGTTTGTACCTGGATACTGTATTGAGTCAAATGTCATATACACACACACACACACACACACACACACAGATAAATCTAGATTCCCATATTTACTCTTCTGCGCTATTATATATTCACACGAGCATTCAACTAGTTACGTGTTCAAAGGGAGAGAATAAAGCAGAATAATGGACAAATTATATTATAATATAATTGATGAGTTAAACTGAAAAATATTAAATGGAGTGTTTGCATATAAATTTCCTCAACAATCACTTGGTTAATTACCTCATTATTCCCATTTCCTTAACTGAATACGTATATATATACACACACGCGCCTATCTGGTTCATGAGTTGCAGTACTGCAAACCCGAACTAGCAATCTGATTATCAAATTACAAGCAATCTCTTGCAGAGGAAGAAGAAGATCAGAACCTTTAATTTGTGGAGGAAGGAGCAGTATGAGTTCTTCCAACATAAACACGTAGGCAACTATTAGCCCTGCCCCACCTTCTGGTGGCACTCAGACACAGGGCTCCAACAATATAAGACGTCCCACTAATATCCCTAATGGTCAGGCTGTCCGTTCCCATGGGGGTCGTCGTTGACTCTTTTCAATTCCATTTTCAGGTAATTCACACACACAACCCCCTCCCCCACACACATACTTACTCCTTTATTTATTCATATAAATCATCCACTCCAGTGGGAAAAACTGATGAGTGATGTGTTATTTTTAATATTTTATGCTTGTTATTAGATTCTTAGTTTAATTTGAACATGACAAGTGAAAATGAATTTTCAAACAAGCTATTGACATATATATAGGTTTGGGTTGTAATATAAATGAATTAACTTTCAAATGTTTGCTATATTTTTAAAGAATTTTGTAGTAATTTAGGTGCCTACACACACACACACACACACACACACACACACATAAACAGCCTTTTAGATTCTCATCCTTCTTGTGAAGTAACCTTACTCCAAAGTGCCAAGAGATCCTAATTAATTAATCAGCCGCTTGCCTCGTAATAGTTTATTTTGTTCTTCTTCTCTGTTTTAATGTCTGACTTCAATCTCATTTTGGCTTTCATTTTCATGTGCAGATCATCAGGTGCCAGTTATATATATACACCCACACCCACACATACACATATTGACGCGATATGGGTTGATCAAGAATAAGGGGATACATAGTACATTCTATCATGATTCGCTAGCAAGAATAAAAATACTATAAAGATTATTATTCAACTTTTTTTCGTTTTCGTTTTTGTTTTTGAGTCTAGGGCTTGATTTGTTGTGCTAATTCTTGTTGCTCTCCATAAATACAGCAGTGGAATATACTGTAATCATTTAAATAATAAAAAGTCAGGCGTCTGAGTAGTTTAATATAATCTTCGTGCATGTCTTCACTTTCGACATTTACGTGGGAATTCTCATAGAAGTAACCATTGTTATTTTAAAATTTACGTAATTTAATTTAAATTTCTGTAATATTCAAGAGATCAATTATTGTCAACGAACCAGATGACCTTAACCTTCAAGTGCTAAATTTTTAAAACAAGAATGCTTATTTATTAAAATATACAAAAAATACTTTACCAAAAAAAAATAGACAAAAAAATATTGTAATATATAGTATGCCACATCATATATAATGATAAATATTTTCATCATGAGGCGTCAATATAAAATCTCTACGCTAATCTCTCATCTTTATAATTTCACCTCAAATGCAACGAAGCATCTTGCACGGCATAATTCTGCACGAAAGGGGAAAACATGTAATGGAGAATTTAGAATTGAATAGCTAACAAAAAGCGTCAAAGAATGAAGTTCAATTTCATGTTAAACGGGAAAAAACTAATCATGTCAATTCCATGTTCATGTTAGATCATGAAAGCACTGGAGAAGGAAAATAAAAAAAGAAGAAGGAAGCAAGAAGTCAATTGTCTTAAAAAAACATGAATGAATATATTAAGAATGGATGGGCCAACTTAATCAGAATTGAGAAGAAAAGTTGAGAGGTTTTGTAAAATATTCTTAAAAGGATTAGAGACGAAAGGGAATATAATTCAATTCGTTGTATTAATAGACCAAAACATAAACAGTTTGATTAGAGACTTAATTAGGGTAGAATATTAATAATGTAGGTTTGTTACATATGATTCAATGTGTGTGGTCCATACGTCAGGGGGCTCAAAAAATCGAACAAAAATGTAGGCAAAATTCGAATGCTATAAAACAATTTTTTTTTTGTCAAGGCAATATTACGAGGTAGGCCAGCAATATTAGAGAAAATGCATTTAAATCCTATTCCGATATATAGTGCGAGAGATAAATTTTCTTGCTGTGCCCATATTTATGCCTTTAATTATAAAGATTTTTTATTTAATTAAGTAAATTAATCAACGAAATTTCATTATGAATTGAACTTTGATCTTATCAGTGTATACACACATATATTGTGAATATATATTGCTTGTCCCCATATGAATAGCTTGCCATCTTCCTTGCCAATTTCCAATAAATTACATATATCTCATCGGTATGCACGCAAATCTAATTTAAATTTATTCAACTATTGAGTTTTTTTAAAAACAGCTGAAATTTCACCTGTGAATGAAATGAAGCATCTTGCGCTGCATATTTGTGATCCCACAAAAGAATTGAGAAATAATTTGGTATAAATTGCCAATAAACAGTGAAAGAATGAGGTTGAATTTCACATGTTAAGCGAAATAAACTGATTACGTGTGTAGAGGGAGAGAATAAAGCAGAATAATGGAGAAATTATATTATAATATAATCGATGAGTGAAACTGAAAAATATTAAATCAACATGAAGCGGATCCCAACATATAAATATATAGATAACCATTTCGAGCATGAGATTAATTAATTATAGTATGATGTAAATATGATTCAAAATCCAACGTAATTCGTAATGCATGTAGAGATTTGTGGTTGAAATGGTCAGACACGGTGGTGAAGAAGGCTCATCTCAAGACGACCCGCAATATTAACCTTAATCGCACATGAAGTTTCAAAGTTCAATTCCGAAACGCAAGTTCAGAGTGTTGGGCAGTAATTGATAATGTATTTGCATATAAATTTCCTCAACAATCACTTGGTTAATTACCTCATTATTCCCATTTCCTTAACTTTCTCGCACTTTTCATCAACCAACATGGATCATATGATACCTTGACTGAATAGTATATACACACACACATGCGCATATCTGATACATGAGTTTCAGTACTGCAAACCCTTGAAGAAGGAGAAGAAGAAGAAGAAGATCAGAACCTTTAATTTGTGGAGGAAGGAGCAGTATGAATCCTTCCAACAATATAAGACCTCCCACTAATGTCCCTTCTGGTCAGGATGCCCGTCCCCCACCTGCTGGTGGCACTCAGACACAGGGCTCCGACAATAGAAGGCCTTCCACTAATATCCCCAAGCCTCCGGCTGTCCGTGGCCCACCTTCCAACAACAATCGTTAACTCATGTTCAGGTAATTCACACACACACACACATGTTTACTCCTTTATTTATTCATATAAATCATCCTCTTCAGTGGGAAAAACTGATGAGTGATGTGTTATTTTTAATATTTTTTAATAAGTTCTTCGTTTCCAATACAAGCTCCAAATTAAATCTTTCATGAGTTTTCGATGAAGGCTAAATTTTATGCTTGTTATTAGGTTCTTAGTTTAATCTGAACATGACATATAAAAATGAATTTTCAAACAAGTTATTGACATATATATATATATATATATATAGGTTTGGGTTGTAATATAAATGAACTAACTTTCAAGTGTTTGCTATATTTTTAAAGAATTTTGTAGTAATTTAAGTGCCTCTCTCTCTCTCTCTCTATATATATATATATATATATATATAAACAGCCCTTTAGATTATCATCCTTCTTGTGAAGTAACCTTACTCCAAAGTGCCAAGAGATCCTAATTGACTAATCAGCCGCTTGCCTCGTAATAGTTTATTTTGTTCTTCTTCTCTGTTTTAATGTCTGACTTCAATCTCATTTTCGCTTTCATTTTCATGTGCAGATCATCAGGTGCCGGTTATATATATATATATATATATATATATATATATATATATATATATTGAAGTGATATGGGTTGATCCAGAATAAGGGGATACATAGTACATTCTATCATGATTAGCTAGCAAGAAGAAGAATACTATAAAGATTATTATTCAACTTTTTTCCTTTTCTTTTGTTTTTGTTTTTGAGTCTAGGGCTTGATTTGTTGTGTTAATTCTTGTTGCTCTCCATAAATACAGCAGTGGAATATAATGTAATCATTTGAATAATACAAAGTCAGGCATCTGAGTAGTTTAATATAATCTTCGTGCATGTCTTCACTTTCGACATTTATGTAGGAATGCTCATTGAAGTGACCATTGTTATTTTAAAATTTACGTAATTTAATTTAAATTTCGGTAATATTCAAGAGATCAATTATTGTCAACGAGCCGGATGACCTTAACCTTCAAATGCTAAATTTTTAAAACAAGAATGCTTATTTATTAAAATATACACAAAATACTTTACCAAAAAAAAATAGACATAAAAATATTGTAATATATAGTATGCCACATCATATATAATGATAAATATTTTCATCATGAGGCGTCAATATAAAATCTCTACGCTAATCTCGCTCATCTTTATAATATCTATACACCCTATATGTTACCTACGTCCAGAAATAAATTAAGTTCATAATTTATAATAATTAATTCATTTTAATTTTTTTTATGAATTATAGTTTCTAATCATCCTGGTGTGTGTGAGAGTTTAACTTATCCTTATCTCTTGACTAATGAGATATAATCATATATATAAGCAATACATATATCTATATATCATGTAAAAAAAATTTCGTTTTATTTTTACCACTCATTTAATGTCACAGTATTATCTTAAACTTTCATTAATAAGTAGAAAACCCCGGGGTCTACTCTTCATAGGATGATTCGATATTATTGAATGAAAACTCGTAAATAATTCTCCAATAAAATATGTGCAAGGTCTGAGCAAAGTTCAAGTTGAATTAAAGACCGAAATTTCACCTCAAATATGCAACGAAGCATCTTGCACGACATAATTCAACACAAAAGGAAACTAAAATATATAGTTAAGAATTTAAGGAGATTCAAAGATTGAAGTTGAATTTCATGTCAAAAGAAATAAATTCATGAGATCGATTCCGTGTTTATGGGAGAGAATAAAAGAACTGTAAATGGGAATTAAAATATATATAGCACCAGAATAAAATAAAAAATAAAATAGAAAGAGAAAATTAGTTTAAAGAATATATAAAAAAATGAATGGGTCAACTTGAAAAATGTTAAATAGGAAAAGTTGACCGACACGGAGTGGAGAAGGAAATTTGATAGGTTTGTAAAGTATTTTTTAAAACATGATTAGAGAGAGACGAAAGGGAATTGCTTTCCCATGTTTTTTTGGTTCTTGGGGAATTGCTTATGTTAAAAGACCAAAACGAAAGAATTTTAATTAGATTTTTTTTGACGAGCAAAAGAATTTTAATTAGATACTTAATCAGGAAAGAAATTTAATTATACAAGTCTCCTTATTTAATTAATAATTATATTACATATGATTCAATGTACCTGGTGCGTACGTGAAGGCTGAAAAAGTCGTCATACTCAAGAGAAGAAGACGACTCAAAGACCACAAGCCAACTCATGTTGGATAGTAATGAATTACACTTTGATCTTAATTATGAGGAGATTTAATGAAGCAAGGCAGAACAATATAATAATATTGGAGTGATTCAGAAGTAGTAAATTAAAACCGATAAATACTTTTGGTTTAATTTAAGTAAATTAATCAACGAAATTTCATTATGAATTAAACTTTGATCTTATCTGTATACATCTTCCTTGCCAATTTCCAATGAATTGCTTCTCATCACCAAATCATATATAAAGTCAGATGTCTGGGTAGTTTATAATATAATCTTGGTGAGTGTCTTCACTTTTTGGACATTTACGTAGGAATATAATACTCCCGGAACCATTGTTGTCAGAATTTAAAAATGTGCCACGTAATAATTTAATTTAAATTTCGGCAAAATTCGAGAGATCAAATCGTAAACGAGTCGTACGACCTTAACCTTCAAATACTAGATTAACATAACTGCTTATTCAACAAAATACACATAACTATATTAAACCATAATGATAATTATTTTCATCGTCAGGCGTCAATATATGAAATTACCTGATAATATCTACGCCATATAT